CATGCCTGGTAGACACCAGCACCCCCTCCCCTCCTCCCCACAGGCCTTTCCCCAGGATGCCTCTGACTCCCTAGCCCCAGGCAGGGTTCTGGTCAGTCTCACAAACTGCCTGCTTCTAGGTCTCTCTTGTCACTACAGCCTTTGGCTGTCACTCATGCAGGCCTCCCCCATGACCCCAGGGCTGGCAGAACCCAGGCCTCTGCAATCCCTCCCTCTGGGAACATCGAGGTCATCTCTTCACTGAGTTCTGCTTCCTTCTTCGTTTTCCACAACCCTTTCTCTACTTCGTGCAGGCGGCCCGAGAGAGCCAAGCCTGGCTCTACCCCTTGCTCCGCTTGGGCAACCATCACACTCAGAATGTAAACGCCAAGGTTCTCACAGGGCACCACGATCACCCCACCCTTCTTTCAGCTCCCCGCTTGACGTCTCTAAGGACCGCAGGGTTTTCTCCCCTCTTTTCAGTCTCCTCTCAAAAGGCACACAGTCAGCAAGGCTTCCTCTGACTAGCCCTTTTACTATTAATTTTGTGTACGTGTGTGTGTGTGTGTGTGTGTGTGTGTACGTGTGTGTGCACGCGTGTGTGTGTACCTAGGCATACATATGTGTACAACATGTGTGCAGTGCCCAAGGTGAGAAGAGACAATGGATTCCCTGGAACTGGTGTTACAATGGTTGTGAGCCGCCATGTAGGTACTGAGGACTGAACCCAGGTCCTCTGCAAGAGCAGCCAGTGCTCTTAACAGCCGAGCCGTCTCTCCAGACCCTGACCGTCACTTTTAAGATGGCTTCTCCTGATGGCTCAGCCTTTGAGAACACTGGCTGCTCATCCAGGGCACTTACGTCTAGCACTTCACGGCAGCTCACAACCAATTGTAACTTTAGTTCCGGGGATCCAGTGCCCTCCGTGGGCACCAGGCACGTTCACAGGTAAAACACCTGTACACACAAAATGAAATGTCTCTCTCCAGTGACCCACGGGCTTTCAGGCCACTAATATGTTGTCCTTCTCCCATCAAGAGTAGAAGTTTCCTGAGGTCAAGCACCAGGTTGCTGCTCTCTCCTTTTTTCCCCTTAAGGCCAATTCTGTTTTGTTTGTTTTTTGAGGCAGGGTTTCTCTGTGTATCTCTAGCTTTCTTGAAACTCACTCTGTAGACCAGGCTGGCCTCAAACTCAGAGATCCACCTGCCTCTGCCTCTTGAGAGCTGGGATTAAAGACATGTGCCACCATGCCCAGCTCAATTTGTCTTATTTTTAATTGTGTGTAGGTGTGTTTGTAGCCGCACAGCGGGCATGTGCCCACGCATGTAATGCCCAAGGAAGCAGCGAATCTCCTGGAGCTATGGCTAAGGATGGTTGTGAATCACACCACCTGACTGTGGGCACTGGGAACGGCGGGCATTCCAGACACACCAGAGGACGGACCTTGTCACCTGCTTGCCCAGTGCCCAGTCTCCTAAGTGACAGACTGAGACCCCAAGATGTGTGTGTGGAGGCCTACGAGCCTGAAGACAGAGTCTCCCAGAGAGAGGACAACTTCCCCAGTGCAGCTGGCCCCAGGGTCAGAGTCCCTGCATCAGAAAAGCAAAGTCCTTCAAAGCCACCTTCTGTTCCCAAAGGGAGTCACACAGACCTTCCTGTGGCAACCTGTGCCACAAAATTTCAAGTATCCCCAGAACTCAAGAGAATGCTGAGTTCCAGACCAGCATGGATACATAGGGAGAACCTGTTTCAGAAAAAAAAAATATAAAGAGGATTCTTCCTGAATTGTTGTCTTAATTCTCCAGACAATTTAAGCAGTTTAAATATATACTTATGAAGACATTTTTTATATACATATATGAAAAACTCACTAGAACCATTCAGGAGACCAAGGCCTCCCCTGAGCAGGGCTCCAGAAGCTCTGGATTATGTGTTCTGAGTTTGTAGAGGGTAAACTGAAGCCGGACAGAGGGCCTTGGCTGCAGGGGAGGGTAATAAATGCTGCTGTGTGGCCTGGGGGAAGCCCAACAACCTCTCTGAGCTACTTGCTCAGTGGAACCCCCGGTTTTCACAGTCCACACATGTTCAGAAGGGCGCCTGGCCCCCAGCCCTCTGAACACCCCCATCGTGGAGCCGCCAGGCCTTCCTGTTTACTCGAGGCCCCTCTCTGGGCTGGAAGGCGACAGGCTTGGCCTCCTCTGCTCCCTGCTTCCTTCCTCTCCCACTTCAGTGCCTCCGGCCAGGCGCTCAGGGGGCTCTGAGGCCAAGACACAGGGGTGCATTCCAGGGGAGGCAAATGAGGCCATCACCCCACCAATGCCTTCCACGGAGTATGCCCTCTCTGAGACTCTGTGGATATAGGGGCATTAATCCTACAAGCTATGGAGAACAATCCTCCAGGTCACAATGAGCAGCTGCCTGGAACGTCTGTAGAGACCAGAAGACAATGACGGCACTGGTGACCTTCTGATGCCGACCACACCCACCATATTCTCGTGGTGACTCCAGAGAAGACCCTGGTCCCCGCCCGCAGGGTACTGCCTATCTCTGACCTCGGTTTCTCCCACTGTAGAGCTGGTGATTTTCCTGAGCTGTTTGCAGTGTGACTTGAGGACCAGCTGCGCGGAGGCAACCCCTGCATTAGACCTGCTTTGTTTTTATTTTATTTACTTATTTTAAGACAAGGTCTCATGAAACCCAAGCTGGCCTTAGACTTGCTATGTAGCTGAGGATGACTTTAAATTTCTGATCCACATGCTAGAATAACAGGTGTGTGCCATGGTTAAAACCTGGAGTTTTTTCTGTGTGTTAGACAAGTACTCTACCCACTGAACTCCTGTCCAGCCGTAGACCTGATTTAAAAATAAGACATTATTTTTGTATGTGTGCATGTGTGCGCTTGTGTTCACGTGTGTGTGTGTGTGTGTGTGTGTGTGTGTGTGTGTGCACATGAATATGTGCCCTTGGTATCCAGAAAGAGGGCTTGGGTCCCATGGAACTAGAGTTACAGGCAGCTGTGAGCCCTCATCCCCACTCCCATGTGAGTCCCTGGAACGGAACTCTGGACCTCTGGGAGAGCAGCAAGGCCTCTTAAATACTGAGCCATCTCTCTAGACCCTAGTTTTGGCTTTTCCTTTAGACAGAGTGGTGCCATTGTAGCCCTGGCCGATACTGAGCTCATGACGATCCTCCTGCCTCAGTCTCACAAGGGCTGGGTTTACAGACCTTCCTACCTGGCTGTAAACCTTCCATAAGCCCCACCTACAAGGACTCCTTGTCCTTGAGGCTCAACTTGAACACTGCCATCCTTTCCAGCTAGCCACAGGTGTGCAGGACAATGATGCAAAGGGGAGGACTGGCTCTAGGAGGAAGCCAGAGGGGGACCCCGAAGGAGGAAGTTCAGCAGGATAGACGTCCTACCACAGACCCAAGCAGAGGACAGAGCTGTCCTCTATGGAGAGAGGTCTGTCTCAGCTGGAGCTCAGTGGCAGAACCCCTGCCTCGTGTGATCATGAGATCCTGCAGGGCCTCCATGGCTGGCAGCAGTCCTCAAAAACCTGATGGCTAAATGCAATCAACTTGTGGTCCTACATCACATCCTGGCTTCAGCCAATCGGCTCCAAGGAAGATTAAGGAGACATGGGAAGCCACACAAGGACCCTGTATTGGCTGGGCGACAGTGGGGACCCTACTGCTGCCACACAGACTATGTTCAAGAAAGTGTCCTGATTCCTCCAAGTCATATTTTAGGACTGGAGTGTTTCCCTTGGTGGCAGGATGGCGGCTGCATGTGGTGACACCTGCCTGTCACCTCAGAGCCTGGGAGATGGGGGAAGGAGGTCTGAGCCTGAGAGTTCACAATCAGCCTGACAACAAAGCAAGCTTCATCTTAAAGCGTGATTCTTGGGACGATGTGGTGGGGCAGACCTTCAGTATCATCATTCCAGAGGCAGGTGGATTTCTATGAGTTTGAGGCCAGCCCGTTCTACATAGTGAGTTCCAGGCCACCCTGAATCTGTATGGAAATGACTTTCGTGCCGTCACAGTGACACATGCATATACTGTCTAATGAATTGTGAGCACTCCAGAGACCACACAGAGTATATTAGAAGGTATCTGTAGGATCTTGTTCTCGTTTATTTTTTCTTCTTACTTTAGCAGGGAGTAGAGTCTGAGGGAAGCTCTCACTCTGCTTCCGACGCTGCTTGAAGACCCTTCCGTACATACGCTGCTTTGAATTTTCAGTGATGCTCTTGTTTCTGCAACCTGAATGCTGGATAACAGGGGTGAGCTGTAATCCACAACCAGCCTCCTTTTTTTTTTTTTTTAATGTTTATCAGTTCTTACACTATAATCCAAGCTGGCCTCCAACAACTTGTGGCAATCCTCCTGTCTTGTGATATAGGCATAAACTACCAGGCCAACAGTTAGTATCCCACCCCTACCCCGTCACGTAGGAGCACAGGCCCATGCCCCATGTCTAGCCTCTGCAGTATTTTACAAAGGACATAGGTATGTTCAGGGCCCTAGAACTAGATCCCTCCAGATGCTAATGGACAAAGTGACCCAGCGGTGCAGAGTTTTCGATTTGATCAGCCAGGTTTTCATAAACTGGGCCCCACACGAATTAACTGAGCTGTAATTCACAAAGACAGCTGGGGTTTTTCAGGCCTCTTTCTCCAGCTTTCCCATCCCCCGTGAACTGTTAAGACAACCATGTCCAGAAGGACTGTGGGGAGAAGTCTATGCAAGAGCGTATGTCTGCACAATTGTGTGTGCATGGGTATGCTTGCATGCGTGCACATGCATGTGTGCACGCGCATCTATATGGTGACATAGGGTGGGAGTTGCTACAGAGTGACATGGGGGTTCCAGACCCTTCCACTTTCCTAAAGTCAACATGGGGGACAGAGGACAAGTGTAGACAGCTCGCCCCCAAACCTTGGCTGAACAAAAGTGTGTTCCTGGTGATTCTGCCCTCTCCCAGCTAACACTGATTTGTTTCAGTACACTCACCGTTATAACTGAAATATGTTTATTTATTTTAAAGGACAGCTTGAATAGAGGGTGCAGACGGAAAGGTGGCCCCCTGGCAGGAACAGAAGGGACAAGCACAGTCACCCCCAGGGGCAGGTGCCCCTGGCGCAGCTGGGGCAGCCGGCTACAGGCTGTCTGGGCATGGAGGGGAAGTCACTAGTGATGGGGGCAGCAGAGGTCAAGGACCAGTGAGCACCAAGAGAGCCTTCCTATGTGATGAGAGGTGACAGCTCCTCTGGGCATCTCGGGTGTCCTCTCCAGGTTCCAGGCCTGGTCCTTGACCTCACGTCCATGTCTATGACAACTCACACGCCTTGATCAGTATGTCCTTGTCCTAACACTGAGGCTAAGGCCTGGGACACAATGTAATAAGTTTTAGAACTGAGGAAAAAGCTCACAGGATGGTGAGGCCTGGCAGGGCCACACCGAATCCCCCTCAGGAAGGCTACCCTGACCTCAGCGTGCCACCTAGCTGTATCTCCACTGCACAGGGCCTGCCACCTGGTAGCCACGTGGCCCCGGCTGGTGTGCCCGTGCCCTATGCCCACTGCAGCCCAGGCTCCAGTCAGAAACAGCGTGCTGGCCTAGTATACACGGTCACAGGATTGATCCCCAGCACCCCATAAACCAGGAGCGGCAGTGGTAGACGACACCTGTGGGCACAGCACTCAGAAGTAGAGGCAGGAGGATCAGGCTGTCTTCAGGTACATAGCAGATGTGAGGCCAGCTTGAGACACGTGAAATGCTGTCTTAAAAAAGAAGAAAAAAGAAAACTCACTCGAGAGAGATGATGGCTTAGAGTCAAAGCCATACGGTAAGGCTATGAGAAAGGGGCTGAACTTCAGAGCCCAGGAGCAATCTGTCTGTCAACCCAGAGGCCCCTAGGCCTGACACGGCTTGGCTGAGGAAGGCCTAGGATCCCAGCAGAGCTGGAGGGAGACAGGATGGCTGGGCTGAGGCACAGGCAAGAATGGGCAGGCAGTGCCAGACCCTCAGCTGTGGCAGCATGAATCACCTCACTAGGAAGCAAAGAAAAGGGAGTGAGCCCAAACGTCCTTGGCAATTCCTTTAGTGCTCGGATGTCCATGGAACAGGATAAGGTGGCTTCCTGTGTCTGTGCATAGCCCGGCAGGGTGGAGACGCTGGGCTCGAGCCAGGATGCCTGGGGTCAGGGGGCAAGGGTGGGGCGGGCTGGGAGCTGGCCAGGGTCTCCAGTTACTTCAGGGAGTCCAGGTAGTTGCAGACCTGGGAGAACACAGTGTCCACGGTGCCTTCGGCATTGACCTGCGGGGATACAGATGATGAGGGCAGAGATGCCACGGCAGGATCCACACACAGCCCCACTCCAATAGCGACTCACTGAAGTAGGGGGAGAAGGAGAAAGGGAAACAGAGGGAGAGGCTGGCCTAAGCGCCTCTCATAAGAACCCCACCTTGCGCACAATGCCGCGCTTCTCATAGAAGGAAATGACAGGTTCCGTGGCCTGGTAGTAGGTCTCCAGCCTCTTCTTGATGGTCTCCTCATTGTCGTCCACGCGGCCACTGGTCTCCCCTCGCTTCAGGAGTCGTTGGGTCATGGTGTCGGCGCCTGCGTCCACATACAGTAGCAGTGTGGGCTGTCCAATCTGTAGGAAGGACATGGTATCATTGGGACCTGTTCCTGCTTCCAACTCGGAAGCCCCACACGAGACCCACTCAGAACGTCAATCCTTTCCCCAAGGCAGCCAGAGGGCCTTCCTAAAAACAACTACCCGTCACTCCTCTGTTCACACCTCTTCCACAGCATCCTAGAACCTCCAAGAGAAAGCCCAACATCCTCGCCACAGGTAAAGCATCCTGTTCCTCCCTCCTTCCTTTTGACCACACTGGCCTATGCTTTTATCGGTCTCCATCCCATGCCAAGCCAGCACAGGTCCCTCTGCTGTGGGACCTGTCTCTTTGCCACATCTGAGACTGACTGAGCCTGAGCTAGAATCTCATCCCCCCAGGCAGTCTTCTCAGATGTGACCCTGACTATTCCTGGTCCCTTGGTCTCCCCTCCCCTTGACAGATTAGGTGTTTTCCTAGTGACCCCCCACTTCCCTCAGCCAAGACAGGAGCTGAAGACTGGATAAGGCCTGACTGACAGAAACCAGAGCAGGGACAGGGTGAAGACTGTTAGGAAATCTGAATGATGTCACTGTCACTGGTATCAGCCACTCATTACAAAGATGGCTTGGAGCCGTGTGAAGGAATAAGGCCTGGCAGCCCTGGATCTCAGTTCAGCCTCCAGTGCCTCTCCAGTGTCCCTTGCCCAGGCTGGACCTTGTTCTGAAGCTGGAAATGGACCCCAACCCTCAGAGCGGGGAGCCGGCTTCTCCCCACCAGCTCTCCAGGCCTGGCACCAGCTAGGCTGGGTTTGTGAGGGAAGGAGGAGGATGCCTGGTCTTCCTAGGACGAGGGAGGAAAAGCCACCTTTCTCTGGATAGCCTTGGGCCTGGGTTAGGACTTCTTTTTTTAAAAAATTATTATTATTTATTTATTTATTTATTTATTATGTATACAATATTCTGTCTGTATGTATGTCTGCAGGCCAGAAGAGGGCACAAGACCTCATTACAGATGGTTGTGAGCCACCATGTGGTAGCTGGGAATTGAACTCAGAACCTTTGGAAGAGCAGGCAATGCTTTTAACTACTGAGACATCTCTCCAGCCCCAGGTTAGGACTTCTTTACAGCCTCGGAGTTCAGCTGAGTCAGTCTCCAGAGGTTCTAAGCGGCTGTTACCCAGACTGCCACACACAGTTCCTCTCCTGCTTCTGTCCAACCAAGTGCCCTTCTGAGTCTGGGGTCTGTCTCCTGGGTGGTTGAGGGTTTAGAGTAACAAGCATCAACTACCTTAAGGGAGGAGTGATCACGTGACCTGCTGACCTTGGACAGTTTACCAAGTTCTTCTCTTACAGAAGACTGTGGGTGACAAAGGTCAGGTCAAGGCTGTCACCCCCATCCATCAGTCATCAGGTGCCCAGACACTCTGAGTCCCCAGGACCAAACAGAGCAGATTTTGGGTGGAGGTGGTGGGGCTATGGTAACAGCTAAATCTCTGGGCAGTTCATCCCTGGCTGGAGCCTCAGTTTCCCAATCTGGAAATGGGCATCTAGCTTGAGGAGTAGGCCTTGGACACTGCCCACCCCAAAGCAGCATTTTAGCTAGCAGGACAAGCCACGTTTTAGGCCCTCTCCTCCTTTAGTACAGTTCTGGCACCCTCTAGTGTCAAGATATGAGAACTTCAGTTATTTGGATACCAGAGGACGCCACCAAGCCCTGGGTGAAATCTGTAGTCCCTCGCAAAAATAGGCTATTATCGTAATAGGACTGATAGGCACTTTTATTTGCTGGATGTGGCCCTGAGGGCTGCAGGTGATGTCACACAACTGGGGAAATGGGGTTGCTACAGGCTCCGCGGCCTCAAGGAAAGCTAGACTAACCCCCATTTCACATATTGGCAAGCTAAGGCTCAGAACAAGGCAAGCATTTTCTTGAGGTCTTTAAGACTCTTAGAGATTGCAACATACAGTCCCCTGTTCTGGCTGTGCCTTACAGAGGTGGGCAGGAGTGAGACTGGACGTATTCTGCCCCAAGCCCACCAGGATGCCCAGTTAGCCCTCCACCCCACCTTTGTTTCCCCCCCACACATACATACACACAGCACCTACAGCCCCACAGTCCCGTGTGTGGCCGTATGTGGTGTAAATGTATGCATACATGCATGTATTTGCCAGCATATGAATTCACATGCATGCACTCCTATAGTGCTTGCTACATCCAGAGCACATGTGTGCACATATGTGCACTGTGTGTGTATGCATCCTATGTTGCCAATTGCTTGTGTAGAAATGGGTCATGTGCACAAAGGTCCGTCTGTGCATATGTGTGTTTGGGGGAGGCATCTCACTCTGTAGACCTTGTTTTCCCAATGGACAAAGGCTTGCTGAAGCTTAGAACTGTCATTCTCTGCCTCCTGAGTGCTGGGATTAAAGGTGTGCGCCACCACCACCCGGCAGAACTGTCATTCTTGATGCCAGCTCTCCCCAGCCAGGTTCCCTGCAGCTGGGAAAGAATATGGGTCCTGTCCCTGGCATTCAAGGTTCCAGTCAGAGTTGAGGATCCTTCTTCCATATCATCCTGACCCCATCTTCTGGTCAACCCGGCCAGTACTGCTCCTGACCCTTGGGCTGTGTGTTTCTGAGGTGACAAGTACCACAAAGATGAAGTCTCTCAAATCATGCCTTTCCTTGCAGCAGTTATGATGGGTCTCATGTGACCTTCCCCACCCTTCCCCTGCAGCCTCCATTACCCCTCCTCCCTCTTTTCAGCAGCAGCCCGGGCCCTGGCCAACAACCGATCAAGGGCCTCTTACCCGCTGTTCAAACTCTTCTCCCTGCTTCACCTCCCTCGGGTAGCCGTCAATCAGGAAGCCATTGGAAGACTCCACTTTGGCCATCATGGCATCGCGAAGCATGTCCAGCACCGTATCCTGTTGTGCAGCACAGGGGCTCCTGAGCTTTCTCTCCCTACCCCTCTGGGCCTTGGCTCATGTTGGTCTACCCAAGCTGCCCTCGTTCCTGGAGCATGCATGAGTCCCAGAAAGCCCATCTCTCCAGGGTACTGAACCAGCTCTTGCAGGCTTCCTGTCCCCACCCTAGCCATGTTCAGGGTCTTGGGGAGGGGACAGATGGAGACACATTTGACTTACGATTCTAAGCATGACACAGAAAGGAGGGATAAAATATGAGTAAAGAAGGGGACCAATGGGTCAGCAGGATGGCTGGGTGGGTAAAGGGTGTTTGGCACCAAGCCCGATGGCTTGAGTTTGATCTCCAGCACCCACAAGGTGGGAGGATAGAATCAACTCCTTCAAGTTGTCCTCTGACTGCCACATGGGTGCCGTGGAACCCAATAAACAACATAACAGAAAGGGACTACTCCTCCATTCTAAAGTTAGGGGGTCTGAGTGCCAACAAAGAAGGTCATTCCAGCCATAAGGGAGTTAGGACAAACAGCCAAGGTCCTAGGGATGCAGAGTGGGAGTCAGGGTCGTAGTCATTTCTGGAAGCAACATTTGACCAAGGGCAATGGGGAACCAACCACACAGGCTTCCAAGCTAGAGAGGGACCTGGTCACCCTTGACAGCATGTCACAGGGTTTGCTGGTTGACCTCAGGGGCTCAGGCTCAGAACCGCAACCACGCCACTGTCCTCCACCCCAGTCCCCAGCAGGGCCCTTTACCAGTGGCACCAGCTGTCCCTTTTCCATGATGGATGATAGCATCTTGCCCCTTTCCGATCCTGAGCTGACTTCTGCCCGCAGTAGGTCCCCAGTGGAGAGATGGGTGTAGCCATATTTCTCCACAATCTTCTCACACTGGGTGCCCTTTCCTGAGCCAGGCCCACCTGCAAGCACCAACGCATTCAGTAACCCCAAAAAGGAAGCCCTAAGGAAGGACACTGATAGGGTCCCTCAATGAAAGAAGACCAGAAGACCCCACAGGCCTTTAAACCCACCACTCGGGAGGCAGAGGTAGGCAAATCTCTGTGAGTTTGAGGGCAACCTAGTCTACAGAGGAAGTTCCAGGACAGCCAGGGCTATGCAGAAAGACCCTGTCTCAAAAACAAAAACAAAACAAACAAACAAACAAAAAACAAAACAAAACAGGAAGAACCCCAGTCCCAGACTTCCACAGCGCCTGCTCAGATCCTTCCTGCTTGCCCAGCATGTGTTTGTCTACAACTCACCCACCACAAAGATGATCTTGGCTTTCTTCAGTTTCTCTGTGGAGAGAACAGGAGACAGGACTCAGTCAGTGATTGGCTAGACAAGCAGACAGAGGTACCTCGGGGACCCAGGCTTGCACAGAGTGAGCAGGGATGGGCACGGGGTGTTCTGAACAAAGCCCAGAGGCTAAGAACTCAGCTAAGAACTCAGAGGAGGTTAAGGGACTAGGATGGTAACCCTGTGGCGCCTTCTGGGGGTACCCCACCCCAGGTATTGGTCACCTCTGGCTTTCCTGTCTCCCTCTTCTTGAGTGAACAGCAGCCCATGACCCTGTTAGAGCAGCCGCCTCCCCTCTGCTCCCTGGCTTGGCCCTCCCCCTTGCTGTCCTTCCCAGTAGTAGTAACTTGGGCTGACAACCACAACATATTTTTGCCATAGAGATGGTTGCCAGGGAGGAGGCCTGTGGGCAAATGGGACTCTTACTCAGACAGGGAGGTAAGCAGACTTCCCAGACTGCTTCCTTAGAAGCCACAGCCTGGGGTGGAAGTAGGTGACAGAGTGGAATGAGTGAGGCCCTGGGTCCCCTACCTGATGCTGTGCAAAAGGACCTCACAACTCCCTGTGGAGAGGGAAACTGAGGTCTACAGAGGGAGGGGCTTACCCAAGGGACACCTGAACTCAAACTGGAACCCAGGACTTTCTCCCAGGTCTCCTCCCCTTAGGAAGACGGAACTGGGCAGGGATCTCACCAAGAAGCAGCCTCTTTGTTCTGTCCCTGACTCAGGAGGAGGTGGAATTCTGTCCCTGACCCAGGAAGCTCAGGCTGCTAGGGGGCCAGAGCCTTGAGGAACTGTCAGGGAAATGCCTAAGGCAGCTAAGGGACAGACTGGCGGCCGCTAGCTTTAGACAGTAGCAGCACTCATGTCTGACTAGCTCTCTGAAGGGCCACCCAGGCAGAGGCCCAGGACCGGGGAATGTGCTGCCAGAAACCAGAGCCCACCCCGGCACTCTGCCCGTATCCCAGAGCATAGGAGCAAGGAAGACTCAAGACTTTAGGATCCACCTGATTGGCAACAGGGACACTGAGTCCCAGCAAGGGCCAGACATGAGCCTGTCCCACCCCACCCCCCTGCTTGGAGGTGATACAACTGGAATTGCTGTACAGCGTAGCCCCATGCCCAGCATCCTCCTTCCCCAGAAAAGGGCAGGCTTGACTATAAATATTAGCATAGGTGAGTTCTGGGGCCCTCAAAGAGGCCTTGCATATTAGGCGGAGAGGCCAGACATATCGTGACAGGCCAGAGGAGGACGCCTGGGGCCTCCGCCAGCTCTTCCAGACAACCCGTGAGAACTCACACCCCTTGACACACAGACACTCTGTAGCCAGGAGAGGGCCTCATACCTTCCATCCTGCTGATTTCAGGGAGCTAGCTCGGTGGCTCTGCAAGACAAGGCACAGGCAGGGGTGAAGGGTTCTCCTCCCACCCCTGACTCAGCTTCCACCAAGCCCCACCCACAGCAGCGGCAGGTAAGTGCCAGGCTCCAACATGCAATTTCCAAACAGAGGCTAAAAGGGAAGACAGACGCCCGGGAGGCAGAACGACCTTGGAAAAGTCACCTTTCTGCTGGCTCCTACTGCCTCTATCACCCCTCCAGTGTGTGCCTTGGTCTGTTTGGAGGCACCTGGGTGGAGGTCACAGAGGGGCGTGAACAGCACTGTGGAGTGTACAGAAAGAGTCCCTAGTGCATGAGGCCAGGTGCCTTGACAACGCTCCCCGCTCCCCGGGCACGGGAATATTGGCCCGAGTGTCCTGCTTTCTTGCCTGGGGACAGAACAGGTGGGAAGAAGAGTACTCTAAGACACAGAGACCCAGGGACACTCCCAGGGCACGATCCTTTACAGTTTGTTGGGTTTTGTTCTGTTTTAAGACAGGGGTCATTCTGTGTAGCGCAGACTGACATCAAACTAACAGCAACCCTCTTGCCTCTGCCTCCCCAGCACTGGGAGGGACTGCAGGAGTGTTCGCCATATCTGGTTCTTCCTGGTTCCTTTTTTTGCTTTTAATTTTATATGGATGACTGTTTTCCTGCATGTATGTAAGCGAACCATGTGCACACAGAACATGAAGACGCCACAAGTGGATGACACATCTCTTGGAACTAGAGTTACAGGTGGTTGTGAGCTATCTATCATGTGGGTGTTAGAACCAGAACCTGGGTCCTTTGGAAGAGCAGCAAGTGCTCTCAGCTGCTGAGCTAGCTCTCCGACCCTTTTCCAGTTTTCTTTTCTTTTTTTTTTTTTTTTTTTTTTTTGTTTTTCGAGACAGGGTTTCTCTGTGGTTTTGGAGCCTGTCCTGGAACTAGCTCTTGTAGACCAGGCTGGTCTCGAATTCACAGAGATCCACCTGCCTCTGCCTCCCGAGTGCTGGGATTAAAGGCGTGCGCCACCACCGCCCGGCCCCTTTTCCAGTTTTCAAACTGAAGCAGGCCCAAGTTCACCTCACGAGAGGTCCTACCACTCACCCCACAGGGAGCTTGCTTCACCATCCCCAGTTTGCCCACCCTTTCTTCACAAATCCCAACCCCTCCAGCCTCTTTCAAACTACTTCCTCGGCTGGGCGGTGGTGGTGCATACCTTTAAACCCAGCACTTCTGGGGAGGCAGAGGCAGGCAGATCTCTGTAAGTTCAAGGCCAGCCTGGTCTTCAATAGCTAGTTCCAGGACAGACTCCAAAGCTACAGAGAGAGAAACCCTGTCTCGAAAAACCAAAACAAACCAAAACAAAACAAAAAACTATTTTCTCATTCCCTCCCTGTGGTCTATGTCCCTAGATCATGGCCCGCCTCCACGGAGCCTCAGGGTACCACACACACACACACACACACACACACACACACACACGTATTTTCCTTGGCAAACAATTATGTGACCCTCCTGCTCACAGTCTTCCATGTATTGTCCTCTTGCCTCCCCAGTCAAACCTGAACCTCACCTCTCAACCTATCTGGCAGGGGCTGGGCAATCTGGCTGCCCCTCCCCCGCACCACAGGCCTTTGCCTCCCGACTGCACCTGCCCACCGGCCCACAGGCCTTTGCAGTGCTATGTCCAATTCTTGGGGGATGTCTTTCTCCAAAGCTACTGGAGACCTCAGCTTGTCTCACCTACTTCAGAGAGCCTTCCAAGACTCCGCCGCACAATTCCACAGGTGTCCCCTCTGAACTGCTGGTGGCAGGGCACCCAGCAGAGGGTACCAGACTGTTCTCTTGCACCATGAGCCTTGTTCCTGGTCCTGATTGGGCCTGGCAGGAGATGAGCCCTGGACTGGGACCCTCATTCCATCTTACCTGTCATCTGGGGAGGGGACTGAGGCTGGGGAGGAAGGCAGACTAGCTCCAGTCTCTGTCTGGGTTCAAGCTCAGGCCTGGAGCCCCACACCAGACAAGGACCTTGAGCAACTTTGCACAGATACACGAGCAGACAGCTTGACAGCTTCTAGTCCTGCAGACTGTGCAGAAGGGGACGTGGAGCTGCCAAGCCCCTCAGCAGTTACCCAGGGGAGGAGGAGTGTCCCCGGCTCTGGACAGCCACCAGGATGTCCTAGGAGGCCACTCTACTCCACATGCCCCACCCCTCCTGGTAACCTAAGCTCCTCTGCCCCACAGACACCTGCCACTTCCTTGATCTAAAATAACTTAGGTCGTGAGGAGGCCTCCAGGAGGCAAGGGGTCCCAGGCAGAGTAAGGTTACAGACTAAGCAATCAGGCCTTATAAGGTTCCCTGGGCCAAGGCCCCAGTGACTCCTAATATGAGCGGAGTTGTCTTCTAGGTAGTTCAGGGAGCAGAGGCCCCATAGGACAACCATCTCTAATCACAAGGCCTCGACAGACGCTCTCACAGAAGCTGGCGAGCAGATAGGGTTCAAATCACAGCTCCATCTCTCAGCTGTGTGACCTTGGGCAGCCACTGTCCCCTCTCTTGCCAGTCTGCCTGTTACTCAAGTGTCGTGGGTAAGTAGCTGCCCAGAGCTGTGAGTCAGGCTCCAAGGCTCCTTCACAGCCCCTGATCCAGCAGGAGGTGCTGGCAGGGCTCCACCGTTCAGAGGCCCCAGGTCCTCCCAACACTCAAAGTGACATTACAGCTCTAGGAGTGCCGAGGCTGCCATTACCCAGGTCCCCAGGTCCTCCGGGGCAGGGACATAGGCTGTCTGTCCCCCTTTCCTTAGGGCCTCAGCAGGGATCTGCCAAGGGCACAGACCTGAAGCCCCAGAAATGCCAGGTGGGACAAAGGGGTCTGTGAGGCTGGGAGGAGTCTCTCACACACACAGCCACAGGGCACATGCACCCAGAGCTGAAAGAACACACATGCAAATGCTCAGTTCATAACCATGGATACAAACAACAAACACACGAGACACACAGAACCCAAGGGCAGCCTGACACAAGCACCCCCACCTTCCCACAGGTGATGTCTCCCCACTCCCTCGGTGGGATCCGCATGGGCAGACAATGGAGCAGTCACACACTGACCTGGGGGAGGGTGTAGTGGGCGCTGGGGCCAGTTCGTTCCCTGCCAGTCCTCTCAGCTGCCTGCAAAGGCGGCTATTTATAAGGCTGTCAGCGCGCACGCATGGCATGCTGGGAGCCAGCACTCTGGCGAGATGGCAGGGAGAGGGGAGGGAAGAGGGAGAGGGGGGGAAGAGGAGGGGAGAGGAGGAAGCAGGGACTCTGATGGAGAGCCTCTCAAGAGTGAGCGTCCCCAACAGGCACCCCAGGGACTGAACCTGCACACAGAAATTTACCACTCCCCTGTGCCCACATCACTCCCCACGGACAAGGGTTCTACAGCTGGAGAAACTGATGCTCACAAGGACGGGTTGTGTGTAAGATCTCACGGCGCTGGTGGCAAAGAGGCAAGTAAGAAGGGAGGGGGACCAGGGTATGGACCTTGGGGTTCAAGGGCCACAGTCCTCATGCTCTGAGACCCCCCACCCTGAGACAATTTTGTTGGAAAAGACTCTGAGCTCCTCTGGGACCCCGAAGATCTGGTGGTTAGGTAGATAAGCCAGCCCTGACCCCAAGAAGCTGCCGGCAGTGTCCCATAGTTGAGCACTTGAGATACAGACTTTCAGAATGTTCTGTGTATCCAGCCTGGGGTATAAACCATGAGAGAGCGCTCATTGTGAGCACGTGGGTGGAGCACTAAGCCAGCAGCCGACCAGCTGTGTCCAGGGAACCCAGAGTAGGACCCAGAAGCTACCTGAGGCTCCTGGGTGGGAAGTCACTCTGCAGGACAACGGGCACTGGCTGACAGGTACTCAAACAGCAGGGCACAGATGAGAGCCCAGGACCCTCAAGGTTAAGAACTTGTGTATTTGACAGTCAGCGGCTCCAATGGCGAGTTGGGGTGAAACTGCAAATTGTCTTGTAAATGCTAGGGAGCCACAGAAGTTTGGGTGTTGCCTTAGCAACAGCAGCAGCACGGATACCAAGATGCCTGATCTAGTCCCAACTCTGCCACCTGTGACATCATCAAGCAACCTCACTTTTGCAGTTGGGGGGGTGGGGGCTCAGTGAGTCAGAGGTACCGGGTTGCTCTGAAAGACCTCTGAGAAGACCTCGGTGGGTGTATGCCGTGACACAGCTTTTGGGGAAAGCAGATCAATGATGTCATCCAAACTTCTACCAGATCCTACTCTTAGAAACCCATTCAAGCTAACGCTTGTGGGAACAAAGTTCATAACGGAAGGCTCTTCATGCCCGCCGTGACTGACTGGGGGCCATGGTATAGCAGGATGCATGGGGGGCAGGGACCCTGCCATAAGTGGAAAAGAAAGCCAACTTGCTGGGTAGCAGCCCCTTAGTGCGAGACATGAAATTCACCTGCCCAGGTCTGATCTCATCTGAATAAAAATGATTGTAAGCCGGGCGGTGGTGGCGCACGCCTTTAATCCCAGCACTCTAGGGGCAGAGGCAGGCGGATCTCTGTGAGTTCAAGACCAGCCTGGTCTACAAAAGCTAGTTCCAGGACAGGCTCCAAAGCCACAGAGAAACCCTGTCTTGAAAAACCAAAAAAATAAAGAAAGAAAGAAAGAAAGAAAGAAAGAAAAGAAAAGAAAAAAGAAAAAAAGTCCAGCTTGGTCTACAGACAGTCAGGGCTACACAGAGAATCCCTGTGTCCAAAATCCAAACAACAAAAAAGTGAAAGCAGTTTAAAACACTAAAAGATATTCTGAGGGCTGGGAGATGGGTTCTGCTGTCCCAGGGACCCAAGTTCAGGCCCAGTTGTCCTCTGGACGGTTGGGAAGGCTCACAACAGCCTTTAACCCCAGCTCCTCCCTGTGGCTTCCTTGGCCACCTGCATTCAAATGCATATGCCCACACACTAACATATAATTAAAAGTAAAATTAAACATGTGACTACAGAAAGAATGTGAGGGCTTGAATAGGAGTCCCACAGGGGTGAGAATTCGAGAGGTAGGTGGCCCTGGGCCACTACACTGAGGCTCCCAGCAGGACCAGCTGGGGTTAGTATTGATAGAAGGGACAGGAGTGGGCACGTCCCAGGTGGACTGGTGGAACACGACCACCAACAGCCACAGGAAAGACGCAATAGGAGGCAGAGAGGCTAGGGCCTCTGGCAGAGAGAGAGAGAGAGAGAGAGAGAGAGGAGACGTGAGCCATGCATGGTTTCACAGAACCCCCCATCCCAACCCAGGAGTGCAGACAAAGACACAGGGCCTGGATTTCAGAGTCACA